TTTGCGTTGAGAGGACCTGGACACTTGCCTTGTGTTGTGAAGTGCCATCGAGTCAATTCTGACCCATAGCGACCCAGTATAGAGTTTCCAGGGAGCAGCTGGTAAGCTTGAACCACCAACCTTGCAGTTTAAACGGCTTTGAAGTCTGGCGCATTAACCCACAGTGCCACACCAGGACTCCAGAGTAGTATACTACTAAGATAAAAACAGATGGCTAGATAGAGATCTCAATAATTTTCCATAATTTGGAGTTTCTGTCAAATCGAGAAGACTTGATGGGCAGTTCAACTTTAAAAGAGAAGCAAAGAGTGGATGTAGAAAAAGTGAAGCTTGGATTCAACGCGAGAGTAGCATCCAAAGACTAAAGCTGGTGAGTTCTAAGTATTCAGCCTGATTCTTATCTTACCACAGCTTCTGACAGAGGAATGCAAGAATTTATCCTCATGAGAATGAAAATAGAATTTTGTCTTCTCTGTCATCAAAGGAAGAAACTAGGTTGGCATCACTGACCCAGCAGTTAATTTCCTTTAAGAAATATATGTTTGGGTTTCTATCTGCTTGTTGTTTGTTTGGATTGGGTTCTTTTTGAAAAGTAGAATCAATTAAACCCAATGAAAATAGTATTTAAATTATACACAGGATTTGAGTAATCTTGTGCCTACCCTGTACAATAAACACTGATTAATTGTTGTTTGTTGTTAAGTGCCGTCGAGTTAGTTTTAACCCATAGCATTCCCGTATAGGGTTTCTGAGGAGTGGCTGGCAAGCTTAAATCACTGAGCTTGCAGTTCAAACTGACTTTTCAGACCAGCACATTAACCCACAGCGCCACACCAGGACTCCAAATTGATGACCCCCAAATTACCCTATGGAGTCCTGGTGTGGCGCTGTGGGCTAATGTGTCAGACTGCAAAGTTGTTTGAACTGCAAGGTAGGTTGTTCAAACTTATCAGCTGCTCCTTAGAAACCCTATACATGGTCGCTATGGGTTGGAATCGACTTGACGGCACTTAACAACAACAACAAATGACCCTACTATTTGACATTAATGGTCAAAATGAAATCAAACAGGGCTTAAGTAATACTATTCTATTAGAACTACACCATGTGGCAAATTTCAGTCTCACATTGATTTTTGACAGCTGAGTTATTCTTGGAGAGAAAAGGTCTGTCACTGCATGTGTTTGAGTCGACTAAATATTCCTTTACCTATAGTATGTAACCATGGAAAAAGACATCATTCCAGCTGGACAAACATTAATAGGCACTACCTTGAAACAGAAGTCCTGGTATGGTGTTGTAGGATAAGCACTGGACTGCAAGGTCGGTTTAAACTGCAAGGTTGGTGGTTCAAAAAGCCATTCACGAGTATTTAAAAGAAATGTTAATAATCAAATTTATCAATTTTAAAATAAGCCTGGAATAAACACTGACCTTTGGAAACCCTACACAGAGTCGCTATGAGTAGGAACTGACTCAACAGCACCTAACAATAACAACAGCAATGCCTTAAAATAGCAAGGAAAGACTTTCTAAATATCAGGCCAATGTGTATTGTCAAGAATATCACCACTTTGTAGCAGCAGCATGTATCTCTGAAAATGAGTAAGGGGGGCGAAAATTATTTCTGTAGTATACTCAGAATTTTTAAACGTTGAAAGTACGATTAATTTGAGTCCTGGTATGGTGCTGTGGATTAACGCACTGGTCTGCAAAATTGGTGTGAACCACAAAGTCAGTAGTGCAAGCTCACTAGTTGTTCCTTGGAAATCCTATACAGGGTCACTATGAGTAAGGAACCCACTTGATGTCACTTAATAACAGCAGCAGCATGAGACATTTCTAATGTTTCCAGAAAGAAACATAATATGCACTGGGCCAGCCTATGATCCTTATATACTGAGAAATGACCTTTAAATAAGGACAAAGGACAGATAAAATAAGGTTCCTTCCTGGTGTGGCATTGTAGGATCAACACTGGGCTGCAAACAACAAGATTGGCTGTCCAAACCCACCTGCGGCTCCTTGGAAACCCTATAAACAGGGTCCCTATGAGTCAGAACTAACTTGAAAATGCTTAACAACAGCAACATCAACCTTAAAGGTTACAATGTAATTCCAAGCATTAGAATATTTTCTAATAAACAATATGAGTTTAACATTCACTGATATGTGGCACTGCAGGTTAATGCACCAGACTGTGAAGTCATTTGTACTGCAAGGTTGGTGGTTCAAGCTCACCAGCTGCTCCTTGGAAACCCTACACAGGATCGTTATGGGTCAGAACTGACTCAACAGCATTCAACAACAATATATCTAAGCTCTTGTTTTTGTTTTTTTATTGGTTAAATTTTTTTCAACCTATCCTGTTCTTCTGAGAGTAAGCAATTTCAGAATTTTACTGCTCACTACGCTAAAAAATTCTTTACTGTTAAACACTTGCCCCTCAAGGGGTGGTCCTTGAATACGTGTTTGTCCTTTAAAATGTATTTACTTTTCAAAATGTATTTGCTTTTCAAAAGTAGGCTGCATTCAGATTCATCACAATTTTCACGCAACACTGAAGACTAAAATTCAGCAAATCCTTATATTTGCTAACAGCTCTAGGGAGGCAAAATGCCCTGTATGCAGAGGATATATAGACATTAAATATTTACTGAATGAATGAATATTGTTAACAACCCTTACACTTAGACAAACAAAACTTAGGATAAGGTCCAGAAACGTAAACATTAAATATTACCTTTAGTATATTCTTAGATCTAGCATCAATAGTATTTAATAGAAATGTTAATAATCAAATTTACCAATTTAAAATTAGCTTAAAATGAAAAGCAACAACAATCCACAAAAATCAGAGCATTGAATGAACTTGATAAACGTTAACTGAATTAAGTAGAAACGAATTAAACCATTTTACTTAAAATGACTGATATTTAGAGAAACTGGGTTTTCTTTATAAACTTATTCTAAGGGAGTTTAGGAGAGTTATTATGATAAAAGGAGTCCTGGTGTGGCACTGTGGGTTAATGTGCTAGACTGCAAAGTCTGAACTGCAAGGTAGATGGTTCAAGGTCACCAGCCACTCCTAAGAAACCCTATATAGGGTTGCTATGGGTCAGAACCGACTCAATGACACTTAACAACAACAACATTATGATAAAAAGACCTAAATTAGGTGGTGGGCCCCCATTTGGAAAGCTTTTAAGGCAGATACTCATTTTAATGTAGACAACTTTGTCCCTTTAGGCTTATTCTAGACCTAAATTTCTAGAATGCTCTAATAATGTAGTATGACTTGAAGTACACAATGTTTTCTGAGTGTTTTCTACTGTCACAGAACAAATTGGCAATAAAGTAATCTGCTGGCCACTCTGCAAGGCATTTATTTTTAGTTGTTATAATTTGTTCACTTTAATTATGAAATATTTCCAGCATATGGGCAGATACAAAAATATGTGTAACAGACACCCAAGGACCCATCCTACGTACATAGAAGATGTTAATATTTCACCTCAGTATTAATACACATTAAAAGAACAGAAAGTATTTGAAACCCATCAGGCTGACAAAAGTTAACACATCTGATGATGGAATTATCAGAAGTATGGAGGATTGGAAACAAGCCATTCTGTTTATTTCTTCTAGTGGGTATTACAACCAATAGAGAGAGCAGTTTGGTACATGACTACTGGAGCTTTCATTTAGTGATCAATATATTTTGCAAACTCTACTCCTATACAAGTGATGTTCATAAGAAATGGAGTTTTCAAAAGAGGGAACAAGTCCTTACAACAAGGATCATTCCCACCCCCTCCATACACAGAGTAGACAGGGATGAGCAACTTGGACATTGGCTACCCAAAATGGCGGGGGCGGGGGGAGATGCTACAAAGGCAAGAAGTGACTGGCTTACAAGCTTTCAAGAGGGAACCTAGATTCAGAGGGTGTGAAGAAAGGTAGAATCTCCACAGAGTAGTATCCAATCTGTCTAGGTAGGGCTGATGAAATGAAATGTAGATGGGTCTCTTGTGATACAATAGTGAATAATTGTTATCAGGACTGATTGTGAGGGTTGGAAATGTAAAGGTAGACCTTTTGTAACAAGAAAGGGAATGATTAACTTTTCAGTCTAGAAGCAGAGGTCCCTGGGACCATCAAGGGAGAAGAGCCGAGAGTGGGACCCTACCCAGAGAAGCAGTGATGCCTGAGATGAAGGCAGAGATGATGATGTGGAGAGATGGAGCAGTTGGGGACTTTTGGACACAGAGAGGGAGAGGGGCTGTGTGTTGATGACCGGGGGGGCAGGCTTGTAGTGTATACCTTTTGGTTGGGTGATGATGCATGGAAGGGATTGTAACCATGGCAATGAAATGATATACGATAGGATGAATGTAAAACTAATGTTCTCCCATGTAAACTATCACATAATTCATAATAAAACATTGAAAGAAAAAAAAAAGGAATGGAGTTTTTTTGTTTTATTTTGACTATACGTGTGATTTCTAGCTTTTCATTTTAAGAGGGGATCTTTTGTTATCTGTATTTATCTTCAAACTCACTGTAATGATTTTTATTTAAAATGTATTTTAAGAAAAATTAGGACTTGGGGATACATTTACAAAATATAATACAGCTTTTCAGTGCATCAAAATTAACTGAACCAGAGTTCATAAATAAAATGGATGGCATGAGTCAATGGAAAGTAGACTATGGCAGACCAAAAAGATATGTCCTGGATCAAAACTAACTGATTGTAAAAGACTTTTGTAAGTTGTACTTCCAAATAAGGTGAATGGCAAAGTTCCAAAAGTACTTCACAGTAGAAAAGAATTGCTTTAATTGCATAAATACATTAGGAAGGGTATGAACAGCCCCCATGCTTTCCACTATATGGCGTCTTATTTCACACTTTTTAAGGTTTACACAACAGTTAGGCAGTACCTGAATCACTTCCCATGGTGTCTGAATCACTGCCCATGTTGCTGTTATGTCCAAGACTTTCATCTAAGCAGCTGACACTTCCTTCTGCCAAACTTGTGTCTGATTCTGCAAAGGAAAACATTTTAAAATATTTTTTAAATATTTCTGAGAATAAACGTATTTTAACTGCACACCTCTACAGCACACAGTACATACAGTTCAATGCAAGTGGGGAAGGCACACCCAGACAATTCTGAATAAAAGGTAAGAATTTCTGGCAAGCTACAGTAAACAAAATCCACTATGGATAAGCAGCTGCCGGGTAGTGAATCAAATACGTATTATCTACTTAAAGTACTATTATGTCCAATCTGAGAGCTAGTGCAAATTTGTAAAAATGCATGTATTTTGTCCTGGTGTAGTGCTGGTGTGCCAATGTAAGATAAACATTGGACTGCTAATCATAGGCCTGTGGTTCAAACCCACCAGCAGCTCCTTGGAAAGCCTATACTGGGTCTCCCTCTATGAGTCAGAACTGACTTATATAGACCTAACGTGTCTTTTGTCATCTTCCTGAGTGTAAAATTTTGGCCCCCAAAATAAGATTCAGACACAAAAAGTATCATACAGAACTCACTGAGTTCCTTTTTATGTAAAATAACAGAGAATTAAGAATGTGTCGATGTGCTCATAGGTTATAAACAAATTGATCAACTCTTAGTTGCTAAACAAATCTACCTAACTGAGAAAGAATTTGCTTTTTGTGTGACAATCTCACTAAAGGCTATATTCACAGTTGTATTTGAAGCTTTTGTGAGATTGGAAATGATTGCTTTCTTTACTATAATTCAACAGGGTCTCTGTGAGTCAGCACTAACTCGATGGCACTTTAACCACCACCACAATAACTAAACTAAGCTTCCGTCAAACTTATTGTTAACAGCAGTGACCAGTGCACACCTTTTACTTATAAATGTGGAATCACTGCTTTAAGTAAACAAAACAAAAACAAAACCCACTGCCATCAAGTTGATTCCAACTCACAGTGACCTTTCACAAGGTTTCTGAAACTGTAAATCTTTAACTGGAGCAGAGAGTCTCATCTTTTTCCCATGGAGCAGTTAGTAGGTTTGAACCATCAACGTTGTGGTTAGCAGTCTAATCAGTGTTTGACTCATTGCACCACCAGGGTTCTCTTCTGCTTTCAGTACTCCGTATCAGTTCTTCTTGACAATTTTCCTTCCTTCATGGAAAGAATTCTTTCCTGACAACTTCTGAACATTACCAAGGACTTGTGCAACCTATTGTTAAACTAGTAAAACTAAATGAAAGGTGGTTACAAATGTTGGCTCTAGAATGCTGTTGTTGTTCTTGTTGTTAAGTGCCATGGACTCAGTTCTGACTCATGGTGACCCTATGTAGGGTTTCTGAGGAGCAGAGGGTGTGTTTGAACCATGGACCTTGCCATTCAAACTGATCTTGAGGTCAAGTGCTTATTCTACGGCGCCACACCAGGCTCTGGAATGTACGTATGTATGTTAAGTGCCTTCGAGGCAGTTCCTACCCATAGTGATCCTGTATAAGTTTTCCGAGGAGCTTCTGGTGAGCTTGAATCACCAACCTTGCAGTTCAAATGGCTTTGCAGTCTAGCGCATTAACCCACAGCGCCACACCAGGACTCCAGGCTCTGGAATAGGACTTGGGAAATCTGCCATTGACTGATAGAACCTCAGTCCCCCTTATTTAAAATGGGACTAATACCACCTACTTCAAAGGATTTGATACCCAGTAAATAATATCAGGTACAAAATAAGTTTTGTACATTAGCTTAGCATATTAGCTTAATTGCTAGTGATTTTAAAAATGAAACAAAAGTCAAAATATTGGCAGGAGTTTCATTTAATAACATTCTTCTTACACTTGATAATAATTTATATTATTTACACTTTTTATACATGATCATTTAATCCTTTACATTTATACTTCTTATATAATTATCATGTAATCCTTTAATACATTTTATTTAAGGTGGAGTACTGGTGTGATGCTATGGGTTAATGTGCTGAACTGCAAAGTCAGTTTGAACAGCAAGGTCAGCAGTTCAAGCTCACCAGCCGCTCCTTGGAAACCCTATACAGAGTTGCTATGGGGCAGAACTGACTCGACAGCACTTAACAACAACAACAACACATTAAATAACGAGTCCTGGTGTGGCACTGTGGGTTAATGTGCTGGGCTGCAAAGTTGGCTTGAACTGCAAGGTCAGTGGTTCAAGCTCACCAGCTGCTCTTCGGAAACTTTATACAGAGTTGCTGAGTTGGCACCGACTCAATGGTACTTAACAACAACAACACATTAAATAAATTATATTAAAGAAGTCTTTAGCAATTTAATGTGTATGTTATACATTCAGGGCTGGAAATGAAAATGGATGGAAGACACGGTAAGCAATCAGTAAAACGGATCTGGGAAAAGAAAATACACAACCCCTCAATACAGAACTTTTCTTCATTTTTTTTAAGTTTTTATCATGAATTGAGTGATAGTTTACATGGGAGAACATCAGCTTTAGATTCATCCTATTGTATTTTGTTTCATTGCAGTGATTACAATCTCCTCCATGCATCATCATTCAACAGCATTTGCTTCCATTCCCTCTTTTTTTTTTGGAGGGGGGGAGGGCGGATGTACTCTTCTTCATTTTTTTAACCACCTAATGTTTTCTTAAGTTTATTGAGGTATAATTTACATACCTTAAAAGTCATCCAAGTTAAGTGTATATTTTAATGAGTTTGACACATGTCTACGTTTCTGTAATCACCATCCAATTAAGAGAAAGTATATTTTATCACTCAAAAATAATTCCCTCATGCCTGTCTGTAGTCAGTCCCTTCCTGCTATCCACTGGTCAGGTTGCTGTCCCTATCACTTTACTTCATTGAGAATATCAATGTGTGGGTCCATGCAATATGTTGTCTTTGTCTGGCTTATTTAACTTAGCATAAGACCTCTGAGATTCATCTAAGTTGTTGTATATTTGAGTAATTTGTTCCTTTTTATTGATTACCAGTATTTTAAGGAAAAGTTTTGGTGGCTCAGTGGGTCAGCATTTGGCTGTTTTCATCAGTGATTTAAACCTACCAGCCACTCTGCAGAAGAAAAACATGAAAGTTTGTTCCTCTAAAGATTACAGTCTTGGAAACCCTATGTTGTTGTTGCTGTTGTTAAGTGCTGCCAACTTGGTTCTGACTCATAGTGACCCTATATAGGGTTTTGAGGAGCAGCTGGTGAGTCTGAACCAAGAACCTTGTGATTCAAACCATCTCGTGGTCCAGTACTTATCTTACAGTGCAGTGCCACATGAGACAGTTCTATTTTGTCCTATAGGGCTGCATGAGTAGGTCACATCAGCAAAAACAGGTTTAGTATTTCCAAGTTGCCTTGGTGGTAACAATGGTTAAGTGGAGGGTGGTTCAAAACCACCAGCCATTCTAAGATAGTTGTTGTTCTTTCTCAGTGTCCTGGAGTCAGTGCCAACTTATAGTGACCCTGTATAGAGTTTCCAAGGAGTGACTGGTGGGTTTGAACCACTGACCTTGTGGTACAAACCAACCTCACAGTCCAGTGCTGATCCTACAGCATCACAAAAGGACAACCTTGGAAACACTGTGGGGGCAGTTCTAATCCTTCCTATATTGTTGCTGCTAGTGGGAATCCACTGAATATCAATGGATTTTTTAGTATTCCTATAGCAGTCTGCCAGACACTCCATGGGGGGAAAAAGATGAGGTTTTCTGCTTTCATAAAGATTTACACTCTTGGAAACCCTACAGAGGGTCACTATGAGTCAGAATCAACTCAAAGGCAGTGGGTTTGGTTTGGATCTGGTTTTTGGGAGTTCCTGGGTGGCAAAAACAGTTAAGTGGTTGACAACTAACTGAAATGGTTTAATGCTTGCACCAATCCCCAAACAAAAGTACTTTGAAAGAAAGTCTTGGTGATCTGTTTCTGGACGTTCAGAGCCTTGAAAATCCTTTGAGGTGCCATTTTACTCTGATCACAAAGGGTTGCCAGGAGTTTCTTGACAACAATAAGACTGGTTCTAGGTTTTTAGTATTCTATTAAGTAAGTTTTTGTAACATTGACCTTCTAATTTGGATAGGCCTATTTAGTTCCGGAGGTACAAGATTACATACAGACAACAGCATACAAGTATGGAAGATAGCTTTCTTTTTTAAAAAGTTCAAAGAAAGCTGGTAAGAAATGTATGGAAAAATTCTCAATGGACATACATACTGTTTAAGTATATTAGCACAACATAAATATACTAATGTGAAAATACTGTGCTTATCAGTTGTCGTATATTAGCTCTAAAACTCAGATTTGAGGAATCCCTTATGATCACACGGGAAAACCTGTATATCTCAGTGAGAGATTTTAAATATGGCACTTTGCAATTCCCAGAGGTATGTCTTGTTAGAAGCTCAGAGGCGAGTGTGGGATAGAACTGTCAAGTAGAAGAGTGTTTTGGGCAGATGTACTGATGAAAAGAGAATATGATTTGTAAGGAAAAGGCAAGGTGTAAAATGAGACGGGGAAAATGTCATTGCAAAGAAAATTCTAGATCTAGAAATACAGACTATGATTTTTGAAGCAAAAAAAAGAAAAAAGAATGTTGACAGATTTTCATTTCCTGTTGTTTTAAATGTAGTAAGAGAACTGAAGACCACACCAAAATGACTGAATAATAATAAGTATTATCTAAAATCTAACATTGTATCATTATCCACTAAGTACAGTAAGAATAGAAATTATATTTTTCATTTCATTTTCAAATTACTAGCAGTTAAGCCACAAACTTAACTTACTCCATATATTGTTGCTGTAGTTGTGGTTAAGTACCGTCGAGTCGGATCTGACCCAGAGTGACCATGTATAGGGTTTCCAAGGAGTGGCTGGTGAGTTTGAACCACCGACCTTGTGGTTCAAATGACTTTGCAGTCAGTGCACTAGCTCACATCACCACACTAGGACTTTGATATACTCCTATGTAAAATTTGAGATTTCCCCAAGCATTTCTCTAACATGAAGTATGACAAAGTTATTATTTATGCAATGTGCACAAA